ACAACTCCTCCATGTTCACTATGTTTCTAATATTGCGAAACTGTAATTAATACTTGTTTCCACCAATGCAGCTAACTTTAATCTCGGTTTAACTTACTGTTAATCTTTTCCTAATTTTTGAAAATTGAACCGAGATTAAAGTTAATTTGCATTGGTGGAAATGGACACAATTTAAAATAATTTTTGAACTGGTTTGCATAGGATATTACATACTTAAAACGAATAATAAAAAACAAACTTTCTAAGCAATCTTGCATAAATGATGATGCAAGAACAAATAAATGATTTAATCTTACATCAATATTTCTTGAATTTGTCACCATGCCCATATGTGCATATTACTTATCATCGTATTCTGTTTTGTATTTACCGCACTTTCTCCTATCTGGCGGAACCAATAAAAAATCGTTCACCTATGTCTTACTAGAATTATTACTAGAGGAACTCTGTTGTGGTCACTAGAGGTCAGTGAAGTGCCGACAACCCGCGAATTTTGATTCAAATTGCCATCGCGTTTGATGTTCACAATTTGTGTTACATTCGTCAATAGAAAATAATTTTTTTGTCTATTCTCCAAAAAAAGTTATAATTATATTAAAAAATTACTGCACTCCTATTGCCTTTTTAAATTAAAAATTTGGGATTCTATTGTCCACACCTAATTGTATATTATCTACCTCGCAAAATATTTTTAAATTGCATAGAAGATTCAATGTTTTCACATTAATATTTTTTAATTGTACATGTATTAATTAAACTCTGGGTATTTAAGACGCCAATATAAATAATATCCATATTGTATAATTAATTGTAATTCCAATATAGACACACTTTTGTAAATCTTTGCAAATTTTTAAACTTTATACGTCCTGTAGTATTTAAACAAGAAACACAGAGCAACTGTTATACATGTTTAATCCTGAAAATTATATAGCATCTTAAATAATATAAACAATTTAAAGCTACGTTGTTAAGATTTATATTATCACAAGAAACAGTCAAATTTGTTAGTGTTATTTGATACCAGCAAAAGAGATAGTTACATTTGTTCAATGAACGATTCCTTTCCATCATAGTTATTAAAAACTATGATACATAAACCGTAGTAAAAATTTACTTTCATCTTGAACACAACTCCTCCATGTTCACTATGTTTCTAATATTGCGAAACTGTAATTAATACTTGTTTCCACCAATGCAGCTAACTTTAATCTCGGTTTAACTTACTGTTAATCTTTTCCTAATTTTTGAAAATTGAACCGAGATTAAAGTTAATTTGCATTGGTGGAAATGGACACAATTTAAAATAATTTTTGAACTGGTTTGCATAGGATATTACATACTTAAAACGAATAATAAAAAACAAACTTTCTAAGCAATCTTGCATAAATGATGATGCAAGAACAAATAAATGATTTAATCTTACATCAATATTTCTTGAATTTGTCACCATGCACATATGTGCATATTATTTATCATCGTATTCTGTTTTGTATTTACCGCACTTTCTCCTATCTGGCGGAACCAATAAAAAATCGTTCACCAATGTCTTACTAGAATTGTTACTAGAGGAACTCTGTTGTGGTCACTAGAGGTCAGTTTACAACCCGCGAATTTTGATTCAAATCAGCATCGTATTTGATTGTTTACAATTTGTGTACATTTGTCAATAGAAAATAATTTTTTGTATATGAAGAAAATATTATATGTATATATGTCAAGTGTACCACTCAAAAATTTTTGGATTTTTGATTTGGCTGAAATTTTAATATATTATAGTATACCCATCTCAAGAAGCTACTATGATTTTTTTCAAATTTTTATATCAACATAGTCAAGAGATATGAATTTTTTTAAAACTCGCATTTTTCAAAATTCGCAATTTTCAAATGCCTATAACTCTGCGAAAAATAATCCAAAATAATAAAACGTTTATTTTTAAATTGTGTGTTTTTTCTCTAGTTTTCAAAAAAAAATATCAAGAAAAGTTTCAAAATTTTTTTTTAATTTTTTAAAATTTAATATAGAAAGTTATTAATTTTTTAAAGTATGACATTTTTAATTTTTTTTTTTAAATTCTCATTAAAATTTAGATTTATTTGATGATTTTTAAGACTAAGTTGATTGTGGTCAAATATTTCCTTCTATTTTTTTTCGAATTAATTTTTTTTTCTAATTTTGCATTTTTTTACATAATAAAATAATATATAGGTATAAACTCGTGACTTCTTCATTTCCTAAAATTTTCGGTTTATTTTCAATGTAATAACTTATTTTTTTATATTTACCTATTAAAAAAAAAAGTGTTTCCGTGATTGATATTACTTTTATACTAAAATTATTGTTTTCTTATAATAAATTTTTTTACAATATAATTTTTCATTTTTATAAATTGTTGTTATTGTCCAATATTATTTGTACGAGTACGGCTACACTTCTGCATGCAAGAATTAACCTTGCGTGTACAGTAATTGTACAATTATAATACTTTACAAGAATTAAGCTTGCATGTACAACTACAAATACTTTAGTAGCTTCTTGCGATGGGTATACTATAATATATCATAATTTCAGCCAAATCAAAAATCCAAAAGTTTTTGAGTGGCACACTTGGCATGGAATATCCCATGTATATACATATAATTTTTCTTGATATACAAAAAATTATTTTCTATTGACAATGTAGACAAATTGTAAACAATCAAATACGATGCTGATTTGAATCAAAATTCGCGGGTTGTAAACTTCACTGACCTCTACTGATCACAACAGAGTTCCTCTAGTAACAATTCTAATAAGCCATTGGTGAACGATTTTTTATTGGTTCCGCCAGATAGGAGAAAGTGCGGTAAATACAAAACAGAATACGATGATAAATAATATGCACATATGTGCATGGTGACAAATTCAAGAAATATTGATGTAAGATTAAATCATTTATTTGTTCTTGCATCATCATTTATGCAAGATTGTTTAGAAAGTTTGTTTTTTTATTATTCGTTCTAAGCATGTAATATCCTATGAACACCAGTTCAAAAATTATTTTAAATTATGCCCATTTCCACCAATGCAGATTAACTTTAATCTCGGTTCAATTTTCTCTTCATCTTTTTCTAATTCTAAAAATTAGAAAAAGATTAACAGTAATTTAAACCGAGATTAAATAAGTTAATCTGCATTGGTGGAAACAGGCATTAATTACAGTTTCGCAATATTAGAAATATATTGAACACGGTGGAGTTATGTTCAAGATGAGAGTAAATTTTTGCTACGGTTTATGTGTCATAGTTTGTAATAACTATGATAGAAAAGAGAATCGTCCTTTGAACAAATATAATTATCTCTTTTGCTGGTATCAAATAACACTAATAAATTTGATTGTTTCTTGTGATAATATAAATCTTAACAACATAGCTTTAAATTGTTTATATTTTTTATGATGCTATATAATTTTCAGGATTAAACATGTAAAAGTTGCTCTGTGTTTCTTGTATAATACTACAGGACGTATAAAGTTTAAAAATTTGCAAGGATTTACAAAAGTGCAGTGTTTATATTGGAATTATAATTAATTATATATATGGATATTATTTATATTGGCATCTTAAATACCCAGAGTTTAATACATGTACAATTAAAAAATATAAATGTGAAAACATTGAATCTTCTATGTAATTTAAAAATATTTTGCGAAGTAGATAGATAATATACAATTAGGTGTGGACAATTGAATCCCAAATTTTTAATTTAAAAAGACAATATAGGAGTGCTGTAATTTTTTAATATAATTATAACTTTTTTTGGAGAATAGACAAAAAAATTATTTTCTATTGACCAATATAACACAAATTGTGAACATCAAACGCGATGGTAATTTGAATCAAAATTCGCGGGTTGCCAACGTCACTGATTTCTAATTACCAATAGAGTTCCTCTAGTAAGAATTAGGACAATGGTGAACGACTTTTTATTGGTTCCGCCATGTAAGGGAAAAGTGCGGTGTATACAAAATACTATGATAATATATTTGTCTTTTAATTTATTTGTCAGCCGTATTGGTTCAACCTGTTTATTTTGAATAAAGAACATTCGCTCATTATAACCAGAGCTGTGCGGCTGTATGCTCTTTAAGATTAAATAAGTTTATTGGTTTTTCAGTTTAGTTTTTAATAAACTGTTTATTTGATAAAAATAAATATTATATTGCATATTAAAAAAATAATTTGTTTTTTTAGTTTTATGAAGTTTATGTTATGTATGTGAGTTATTGTACAATTATAGTGTATATCGTATAGTTAAATATTGTTTTTGTGTCAATTACTATTTTATAATATTATTATATTTTATAATATAATTAATTTTTTTAATTTTTATAATTAATTATATTATTTTATTTATTATACTGTGTATATCAAATACATACATATATATATATATATATTCTGTTTCTCATCATATATTAATGTTATTAGTTATAACGAATAAAAAATATAACATTGTGTTAAGCTTTTTATACACTGAGCTGGACTTTTTTAGTAACTTCTTACTTTATTAAAAATTATTATATATCAAAACTTCAAAACGTAATCTTCTTACGGACTCTCCTGATTTAACAAACATCCAAAATGAAGGGCATGTGAGATTCTAACGTTGTCGTAGGCATTATGCCCAATTCACACTAGGCGCGATGAGCGATGCGCGACGAGCGATAACCAATAAGAACTCTGCTTTACATCGTCGTATGAGCAAAAGCAATGCTTTTATTGGATATCGCTCGTCGTTCATCGCTCATCGCATCCAGTAAGCGCGTTCAGCGGACTCAACAGTTTAGTTAGCGCTCTCTGTTATTGGTGTATTCTTTTAGATCATCCAATCAGAATTTTAGTTCTAGAAGAATACACCAATAACAGAGAGCGCTCACTCAACTGTTGAGTCCACTGAACGCGCCCAGTGTGAATTAGGCGACTGCGCTTCTCAGAACTCTAATCTGTCGGAATGACAGATATGTTAACTAATGTTAACCTATAAAGTTTCAAACTTTAACTCTTAATACCTCGTCTAAGGGGCAGAGTGACACTTTTTTGCCAAATTCGTTCATTTTGTTCAAAAATGCGTCAAATGAGTTGAAATGAGTCCATTTTTATCAACATCGGTAGTTCTAAACTGAACAACTATCCTAACCTCAATAGTGAACTTTAATATCTCTGTTCGCGGGGCAGTGTGACGTTTATTTCTGCTAGATTTTTTCGTTTTAATCAAAAAAGTGTCGAAAAATTTTTTTACCTAATTTTACTGATTTTCAATGTACTATAGCTTTTAACTGTATAATTACCAGAAATGTGTTTATCATTATTTACGTAATAATTATTTATTTGTTTATGTAATAAATTAAAAATTATTAAGTTAACAAATAAAGATATATAAAAGGCATGTAAGAGTAAAATTTCAAATTAACAAAAATTAAATGAAAACAAAAAAAAAATATATATATATATATTAAATTCGTTGAAGTCGTGACATGTTTCGGCTACATATATGATTGAGCCCTCTTTAAATATTATAAAAAACGCAATAATGTTAAAATTGAAACTACTAATAAAGATTAAAAAATTACTCTAGAAAGTGTATCTCAAGAAGAGGAACAATGTTGGTCAAGTGATAAAAAATTAAAAATTATATATAAGTGTGTGATAATGGTAAAAAAGAAAATAGAAACTTTGTATAATGATAAATTTCGTAGAGAAGTAAGATGTTAATGCGTGTAACTGTCTTGACTGATGATGACTGACTTATATCAGTCCAAAAAATGGAGAATGCAATTAAATGGAAATCCACGCATATCAATTTTATGAACAAAAAAATACAAAATACAGCCAAGTATCTATGTATAATGCTCGATGCCAAGCTGAGATAAAAGGAACACATCAAGAAGAAAAAAAAGAAGAATTAGACATTAAATATAGAAAAATCTATTGACTAATGGGGAGGCATTCTGAACCTACATAACAAACTGTTGCTGTATAAACAAGTGCTAAAACCTACTGGACGAATGGGCTGCACCAGAAGAAATCCAATATTAAAATAACACAGAACTTTTAAAATAAAATGTTACGAGGAATTGTAAGTGCTCCTTGATGTATCCGCAATAATAACATCCATAGGGACCTGAACATAGATACAGTTATGGATGCAATAAAGCAAACAGCAATGCAACATGACCAGAAAGTCCAGAGACTACAAGGTCATTGCAATACACTAATCTGGACTCTGGAGTATGCTGAGCAGAAATAAACCCGTGCAAAGACTCAAAAGAATGAAAACCCTCAAATTTGGTGCAAAGGAGTAAGAGCTTGTAATATGCGCATATTTTAAAGCTGAATTAATCAGTGGAATAATCTTTGACACACGGTGAGTATCTGATATGAAAGCTGCTAGATAAGTTTACTTAGTTGTAGAAATCCAATAGCGGTATAAGTCACTATTTTGTTGAAAAAATATATATATAAAATACCAGGTGTGTGTATGTACATGTAATTAGTAAAATAAAGTGTCAAAAAATATTAAAAAGTTTAAAAATAAAACGTGTAATAATTTTTCAATAACAAAAACTTCTGTATAAATCAAATATAAACTTGGAAAGAAAAGGGCATCAGGAGTTAAGCGCAGATGACTTTACGTAAATACTGATATATATATCAAACAACTTTTTTATTATAATAATTATGCTAATTATTACAATCAAAAAGTTGTTTGATATACATCAGCATTTGCGTAAAGATATCTGCACTTAATTCCTGGTGCTCTTTATTTTTTCCAAGTTTATAATTGTTTAAAAGTAAATTTGTTATTAATTAAATTGAAAAGTAATGTTAAATTTTTTAAATCAAATGGTTTTTATGATTTATAAAATTAATTTATCTTTAATTAATTTTTTATTAAATTTTACTACATAATATGTAATATAGCGAATAAAAATTATTCTATATATGTGATACTGAAATATATAATATATAAAATAATGTCAAAAAAATAATATAAAAGATTAAAAGGATGAAAAAAGAAAAGTGTGAAACATTAGCGAAAAATAAGATAAAAATTAAAGAATAAAAATAATTATCAAATGTTATAAATGATTTTCAAAGTGTAAAATAATTAAATAATTAATGCTAAATCATTTTAATATTAATGTTTAATATTAATTAATGTTAAATTTTTAAATGTTCTTTTAAATGTATAATATATGTCCTTATTTATTATAAATTGCGTACATTAATATGGTTCCTATCAGGATTATTTATCAAGACTTGATATTAAAGATAACTTGGAGCCTTAATCGCACTCTGTTTCAATTTCTGCTAGGGTAGGGGCTATAGCGCAAGCCTCGAATCGATCTTCCACCCCATCTCACCCTCCTCAGGCGTCCGCAAAGAACCCCCGGCCGACGACTCTGTTGTCGACCCAACAACAATTCAAAACCTCCCGAGACTGAAGACAAACATGGCGTTGGATTTCGCAGCGACGTATAAAGTCCTGGTTTTAGGCGATTCGAACGTTGGCAAGACCTGCATCGTGCATCGCTACTGCGACGAACGGTACTACGACACTTACATCTCAACGATAGGTGAGAAGACACGCGTACCATTGTAAAAATATTTCACGAGTTTCCCGTTTTCATCTACGACAATCGCCTTCGGAGTCGCGTCGTTTTAGCGACTTGTTGGATGTTTATTGTGACATGTCTTGGTACCAGTTGTGATTAGCTTACGACAGCTCACCTTTTTTGATAACGGTAACAATAAAGTTATAGGCTTTAATTTTGCCCCGGATACGATAAATCGCATTAGTGTCATACACCATTAACACAAGTAGTTGCTAATTAATCCTTGGCTATTATCGATGTTGTCATATTTTTGTCTCTAATGCAGATTTCACCTGTTATCAGAAAAGAACAACTGATGCCTCAATTCAATTCGTTCTAATTTTACACGTTTAATGTGCAGCGTTTTCATCTTCTCCATTTGTTACAAAATAATGAGAAGTAGAGTCAATTTTACCTTTTGACATTTTAATTTAAACTTAATATTACAATGAGTATCTAATTAGTGATAACGTCTAATTGCTCCGAGCTGCAAATATAATTAAAGTATAAGTCCTTGATTTTTTTTATTTGAACTTTAATATTTGCTCCATGTGCAAGTATCCTGAAAATATGTCCACATGATGACATATAATAAATAGTGAATATGTCTGCAGGTATTGATTTCAAACAGAAGATTATTAACTTAGATGGAACGCCGATTAAATTACAAATCTGGTAAGTATTAATTAGTCTTTTCTCGCGAATTCTTATATTGATCAAATAATGTGTAAATTCAAATAAACCGAAGTTCCCGCTCAGAAAATTATAGTTTCTATTTTTAGTTTTCTCTCAAATTTTATAAAACCATAATCTGCATGTAAAGTGACAAATCATATATAAACAAGATGAAGTAATAGAAAATATATCTGTGTATTATTTTTTTATAAAGGGACACTGCCGGCCAAGAAAGATTTCGAACTTTAACAACGGCGTATTATCGTGGTGCCATGGGTATTCTTTTGATGTACGATGTCACTAGTTTGGAGAGTTTCAACCATCTGTCATATTGGCTACGAAATATTCAAGAAGTAAGATTATAATCGATTCTAAAGAACGTTACATGAACGAGAATAAACTCGTGCTGCATATTTTTTAAATGACCGTGTTTAAATGCCTTTAAGAAGTCCAGAAATAGAATTGAATATATTAAAAGACTGTTTGAATAAAATTACGACCTGAAAACAAGAAAACAGAGAAATTTGTAAGAAAAATTGATAGATTAAGTATGTTAAAATATTATCAACTAGCCAATTAACGTGTTAACCTCAATAAATTGAGGTTTAGAAAGGAAATTAATTTTATGAAGGAATGAATAAATAGAAATTCTGTAATCTCATGAATGAGTTCGAAGTTATCTCTCTGCATGCAAATAATTGTACAAAATCATAAATCATGAGCAATTTTTTTATTTGCATTACAGAATGCGTCACCGGACGTAGTAAAAGTTTTGGCTGCGAATAAATGCGATGCGACCGCACATCGCGCTGTAGACACCGAGAGAGGTCAAAAGATCGCCGAAAACTTTGATATGCCTTTCTTTGAGGTATCGTGCAAGGAAAACATTAACATTGAAGAGGCTTTCCTTACTCTAGCTAGAAGAATACGGGAACAGCGGGGACGTCGGGTAAAACTTATTCGCTTCAAATCTGACTTGTTCTTTTATACGTTCAGAGAAAAACTTCAATGAGTTAGCACATAAATCATAGTAATATCAAAATGACATGAAGAAATTGTTTTAGGAAAATCTTTTAATAACAATTTTTGAATTTTAAACAATCACTTAAAAATCATTATCATTTTAAGAATTAATCAAAATTATGGACGTCGAAAGTATATTGAATGGTATCATTATAATTTTTCTTAGAATAATTTTTTACTTGATGTCATTTTGATTTTATAATTTTATATTCTACCTAAGATATACTTAGGTGCACAGAAAAAAGTCTTAACAGCATTAGTCAACATTAATATTTGTGTCATTAACATTATCATTGAAAATTTACAAGATTATTTTTAATTAAAATATTGACTAATGCCGTGTGTGCGTGCGTGTTAATATATTTTTTTTATTAAAATCCTTTTTATGTAATAAGGAATTTCAATGAGACACTTCTCTCACTCTTATCTTTTGACTGCAAACTTAACAGGACTGAGCTTTCTCATGAACAATTACTATTACAGGCAAGCCTGTTCGAGGCTTCCGAGAGAGAAGGTGCGGACAGTATAATTAAGGCGCAGTCACCGTCTCAACAAGGTGACGCTTGGAGATGCGCCTGTTAGTTCGGTGGTTGATCATCCGAGGTCTATCCGGCCGATTGAAGTTTCGACGGCTAGCTAAGAATTAAATCCGGGCACAAAGGATTTCGTCTGTACATACGATTGTGAGTCGGTCGTCGAACGGAAATCGACCTGGACGATGCAAGAAGTGTTTGTATACCCGGCGAAGGTGACCCGGGCAAATATTTACGATACCACCACACCATCTGCAATAATCGCAACTGATATAGGTATTATCTCATGAAGCCTGTACTCTATTATATGCGAGAGCTCGAATAACGACGTTATAATTTAAGTAATTCAGCGACAGTAACGCGAAAAAAATATAATCTACCACGATTCTGCGTCATCATCTTGGTGTTACAATCGTGTTAAACACGTAGGAAACATGTCGTCTGTGCGAGGCAAGCTCTTGTTCAGAATATTTCGGAAACACACATACATGCACATTATATTCGGTTAAGCTCGAGCTACGTTCAAGATTATCGCAAAGTTTATCTATGATAAGCGATATTATACGTCGTAGATGTCTATTTATAGTGGCGCGAGTCACATTTGTGCGAATATAGAGACTTAACAGAATTTTTGCTACGAGATAAGTAATCGAATGCCTGAAAGCATCATCTAGAGACGCGACAATTGATCTGATTAATCATAAGCCAATTTTACGAAAAAAAAACACAGAAAAGACGACTTTGAAGTATTTAAAGATTTAATTTAATACAGATTTGAAAATTATTTTGTTGGCCATCAAAATATAATAATCACTAGGACTTTCAAATATAAGTAATGCTAAATAATGCTACAAAATGTTTTGTCAATCTATTATAGCAACAAGTTTGAGCGTACTACATAATAATTTTGATAATCCAATAAAATTATTTACATATATATATATATATTAAACCAAATTTTTACATACTACAGCAAAGTTGTCTTTTCTATGCACCGGTTAATTCTTAATATTCCAAGTAAACCGATGCTTTTTGTTCCGCACGAGTTTGATGTAAATTCACATGAACGGTTTTGCGTACGTAACAATTTAGCTGGATACAGATCTGAAAATAGTTTTCTTGGATTAATAAAGAATAATTATGTAAGACACTCAAATTTTAAAAACTTTTTGCAGCGTTACTGATCGTGCTTGTTTTCTGTATAATTATTTTGATGGCTCAACAAAATTATGTTCAGATTTGTATTTATCTACGTTTAAATATCTTTATAAAAAAAAAAAATCATTTTTTCTGTGCACAAATATTTAGCTGGGAGAGAAAAGACTACAGTTGAGACAGAGATTTGACAAGATTTCTCGAATTCGAAAGGCTCGCGAGACGTGTATTTCACGTACTACAAACAATTTTCGGAAAATCTCGCCGATATTAGACTTTCGTGGATTAGACGCATTCATTGGGTATCGTAAATAGTTAAAGAAGGTTCAATTAGATTCGCTTGGTAAGGCCTAACTAAAAGGAAACATCTTCTCGATACTATTAAGGCGACACACTTTCACAGTAATCGGCGTATTACTATTCTAGTATGTCTACACGAAGAAGACATCATCAAGCGCATTGTGATTACTGTCTAAAAAACGATATTACTATATAAGATTTGCAATTACTACCGATGTCTCTCAACAAGGACCAGGGTTCTTCCTTCAGGGAAGAGCTTGCGCGAAAACGTCGGGATCATTTGATGCACAGATGCCAAAGTTTACGAAAATATCTTTTTGATGATGTCGGGTCAACACTACATAAATTATAAAAAATAGAATTTGTTTTAAATATCGAGGCATGAGTTATTTTTTAATAAACATGATTTCTCTGAAATTAAAAGAATTTAACGAATTAAACGTAAATCAAAAAGTTTTGTAACGAATTAATTTTAAAGTTTTATATAAAACTATTTCACGCTGGAAATAGAAACTTAAAATAAGAGAAATGATTGTTAAGAAATATTCAAGGAACATCCCGAGTATTTTTTTTCTCTCTCTAAAAAGTTTCGTTTGACCAAATATATCAAAGAAACCGAGATTTATTGCACTATTGCACGCGAAGCTTTCTTTAAAAGAAATAACACGGACTGTTTTCACATTGATGTCAGATAAAAACATTTCTTTTTGGCCTCGGAAAAATTGTATAGCGTAAGACTAGCGAAAGCTACTTATCCGAGAAAGGACTGCTAATATGTTCAAGTGTTCATAATAAAAAATAATGTTCTCTGCCTGAAGTAAAATTTCGAAGCCGAACCGATATACTGGCGAGCACTTGACATCTGTATATCAAACCTTTCATATCGGTGCACACACACGTGATAATCCACGCTTAATTAATGCGCTTTGATAATCGTGATGAAACATTTTCGGTGATTCGCATTATATTCGAAGAACAGCGATTTACGATATAAAGCAATACATTCTATTATAGAATGTCTGGCACCAATCTTGTTTCGCATAAAAATAGAACACTTAATTAGTCGTACGAAAAAAGGATAGTAGCGTCCTTACATTTTTCACGAGTTATATTTGCGGTCGGCAGGGAATAAAAGGGCCGCGAGAAAAACATGTTAGCTGCCATGTAATCACTGCAATACGTGCACGTTTTTAACGTGTGACGTAAATCATTCAATTAATCTTAAATGATATAGATTAATCTTTTTAATTTTTACACGATGAGGGAGCTTTCGTAAACAGACATATAAAATTAACAACTAATATAAAAAAACAGGGCAATGAACCAATAAATTACGTTAAAAATCTTTTTAAATTAATTTAATATATAATATATAATATAAAGTTAAGTTTTTCGATTTTTTTCTTATTTAAATACTTCTTTTTTGTCGATTTATTTGCAGGATAAATTTATTTATTGCATCATAATAAATGAGATTGGAAAATAAAAGTAGGACGATAAGAATTTGCATAAAATATTATTGAAAATATGCACATTATAGGCCAAAGGTTTGGAAATATTTTTTTAAATTAACATTCATATTACTTCTCCAAATATCTATAGTAATGTTTTGAAATTTAATAGCTATTATTGAATCTAAAAAACTGTTTTAAAAATACATTGATATTTGTAGTAGTTTTCAAAAATGTTTTCAAACTTTTGGTCTGAAATATGATATGTTGTTTCAACGATAAAAAAAAAATTTATTATAAAGATTCGTTCTTTAAAATTTAATTAAACTTCCAATCTTATTCATAAGTTATTTGCACATTACAAAAAATATATTTTTCCTTTTGTTTAGAAAATTACTTGTATTTATATAAAAAATCACATCACAATCAACAAAACATAAAATCGTTGTTGGCCTTTCGATAAAATCACTTTCACCGTTTGTACTTCTCGTTTACGCTGGCAGAAACGTAAAAGCCTTTATTGTGCCTATCAGTGATTATATAAGAAAGAAAATAAAGACGAAAGGAACATAGATAAGAAATACATTGCACGAGATCGTAAATAGATCGCTTTATGATCGATCAGAGGAAAACTATGGGATGGTAACGCGATGATGGTCGATGTCTGATTAAAGCTATAAAATTAAAATTCGCTTTATTAATATCTCTGAGGATATTGCATCTTTTAGGAGTATGCGAAAGAGAATCGATAGATATATACTTGCGATGTATTATTGTTTTCTCATTTATAAGCATTGTATATTAGATGGTAAATTTAATTCTTGCCACTCGCTATTAGAAGGTACCAGAAACAAATCAATTTTGGAGACGAAAAAACGGCAGGAATTAAGTATACCACCTAATATATCTTAAAAATCGATGTCTCTCGTCTTCTGGCGAATTGCGAACGATTTCTGATACACAACAAGTTCGCTTCAGACTGCATTCGCACGTTCAGTTCTCACTGCATCGCGAATGGCAATCTGGTATATCTTGCGATCTTCTGGCGGTGTGTGATATTGAGGGCGCCCAGGAATCTTTGAGGAAACTCAGTTCGCGCTTTTTCGCACGCTTGCATGTGCGATTCTAGGCTACATCGCGACGCAATCGAGTCGTAAAAAGCACATGTACTGGAATGCACTCTTCAGACGAGAAGCACACTAATACACTATATCCGTCGCGATCGATCGAGGTGTAGTGACGATACCTAAGAAATGAGATCACTTCGCGAATCGCGCACGTTAACGGAATAGCGATCGCCACGGTATCATTTGTTTTTTTCAGCTGCAATTCTAAACGTAATAGTTTTACAGCATAGGCTTTGTACCATTTGTGCAAGACGATATTATATATATAAATATACATATATATTATATATATATATATATACACACACACGATACGACGGTATATATTTGTTGCTTTTATATATTTATAAATCGCGGCGTGTATTTGTATAAAAAGCATCAAGAAATTCGATTATTTCGCCCGCTAAGCAACCTACATGTGCCCTTTAATTAGCAATCAGAATTTCCCAAACTTAAAATGCGAACGTAGGCTGAACTTTTTCTCTCGACGTATATTTTTGCAAGATCTCTGTGAATTGCTATACTGAAACAACGAAATTTAATGTATTTTCGCCCGTTTAAATAAGATTTCGTTGAAATTGTTTTTGAATGACTAAAGTTGCAGTTATTCCAAAACTAATGTGGCAAAAAGAGTTTAACGATTTTTTTCCAATTATAAAAATTTGAAAAGCAAGTGTCTATACATATTTGAGGACCATTGTATATATTTCAAAAGTTTGGGAAATCTTGGATTAATAGAGATTAGATGTGCGATTAGAGAAATCATGTGCTTTATTTTCGTTCGTATAGGACTTCTTTAAATGAGGGCGTAATTTGTTAGGACTGTCGTTAATTTTTATTCCGCGAATTATTTGTAACGAGAAGTATCTGTAGAACTTCACATTAGCCTCATGAAAAGTACATTTTTCTAATTGAGAAGAGACTGCGCGAAGAGGCAAGAGATTGCAATAGAAACTTTTTGCGTTGTTACATAAATACGGCGACGTGAATCTCGAATGTAAAAGGTTTCATTTGAAGAGATGCTTGTTTTTCGCGAGAAAATGTGGAGAATATTTAAAAAGAGAGCAAAAGTGAGAAAGAAAGTATCAATTTGTAAGAACGGCGCCGCTCCATGCGGATGGTAGAATCGCTTGTACGAATTTCTTTTAAGGGACGCTGGACGTTTTCCTTCATCGAAATACTCATCCGAAGCTGGTCTTCGGTTGAAGAGAATTATTTTACCCGACTTAGTTGAGCCCTTGTCACTTATGCACGCGCGCGTGCAGCGCCGTAACTAGCGTTTCTTTCACATATATCCAACGGCGTTCAATCGTTTCGCACCACACACAGTCTTATCCTTGAGATTTCACTAAAAATATGCGTGACGGAATATCGGAATCACGTTCGCGTATCGGAACCCTTTCACCTTGTATTCGCATAGATTTATGTATTCCTAGATCTGCAGATCTCTGATTTTCTCGTGAAACGTCTAGAAATTTGCAGAATTTAGTTCTACAATTTTTGTTTGAATATTTCAGAACAGATTACGCAAAAGAGACAAATGTCTTTGATTTTGTTTTGTATTCTAGTTACGGCTCTGCGTATTCATAGCTCTCGATTTCCAACGACTTTTGAAGTTTTCAACGATATAATGAAAGTTTTACGATAGATATCAGCTGTGTTTTTACGAATCTTGTTAACATATATAAAAGTGAGATAAAATGGCTGATCGGGCGAACAGTTTCGGCTGGCAATTTTCTTCAGTTGTCGGATCGAGGTGATCTTTGCAAACATTTGTTTAAAACTTCGCGTATTAATGCTCGAAATTAATTTAAAAAGTTTGAATCTAATTTGCGCGATATAATGATCTTTCTTTGATTTTGTAAAGTAAGAAGATTTGGCCCGATCACCGAGGAGATAAATGCGGGAATGTTAAACGTACGATATAACGATATAGCTTTTATAACGTTTCATTTGTCATTTATCACTACACTCTGAAGAATGGTCATCGTGTTATTACATAATTTAATTCTATCTTCGCGATCGATTATCTAAATGTATAAGTGTATAAGAGAAATTTTTAAGTTTGTAGAGAAACAACTTGTTTAACTCGATGTCTGAATCAATAATAAATAAAGATACACACTTTTTACCTATGACACACGCTGCGTTTTCATTGAAGCAATAAATTTATCATATAATACTCGTAATTCCACACTCCGAGAAAAACATAGTCGTGGCAACTATAAAGGTGATAATAATTGTACAAATTTTATCTGTAAAATTTAAATACATGGTTAAAAGCTCTTTTAGTTATAATTATAAAATAATAATATTTTATAGTTATTGCAGTTATAAGTTATAAATACAGATTGATTAAAAATTGCTTTTTCTTTCCTCTTTGTTAATATTAAGAAAAAATAGTTATATTTTATACTTATTACAAATATAAACGGTTTATTCACCTATGTATGTATATTAATTCTACATAAAAGTTGTACGATTGTCACTTTTACAATTGTCATCGCTATATGTTTTTTTTTCTGAATAAAAGATATCAACAAGAAGAAAAGAACACGAAAATATTTATAAATTAATTTAGTATTTAAAAGGTATATTACAGAAAAGTCTTACAGAAGAAACAAACGGGACATACGAAACAAAAGAAACAAACGGATTACTCATACTTCGCAAAAGTAAGGAGGAAAGTGAGGCTTCCTTGTAATGCAACGGTTCTTTAAGTGCGTGACCCGGAGTAGTTAAACGAATCGCTCCGACTTACGACACACGTCCGGAGGACATACCGGCATTCGCGGTGCGTCGCCAATACGTCATAGCGTTCGGCGATAAGCGATTATCGGAGTGAATCAGCGCATTGAAAATGGAGAACGACACGGCACCGTTTTCCAGCTGAGCGCCCGCGCTGAATCGCACGCGCACCAGGAAGCGACGGGGGATAAGCGCGTATGGGTCTCCGTTGTTGACAAGTATAGATAGGTACGCGCGCACATTGCGCAGCGTCTTCTCTCCACCTTGGAACGGGGAACGCGCTCGAGCGCGAGTTAATCGACGGAAGATTTAACGGATTGTCACGTTCGCAAATTGCGCGATCCTGTCCGCGATACGCGCGACGTAAGCCGGCAGTCGCGTGTCACGTCAATCGACGTTCAAGATTACGATCATTGTGCCCGTACGTGACAGTGAAAATTAAACGAGAGACTATCTCAGATAAGAAGTCCGATGCTTTGTCAAAGAATCTGTTCTTTTCCATATTGTAGGTATTCCATTTTTTGTTCTAAATTTTTACACTGTCATCATTTTCACTGTATTCCATTTGATTTTACTTTAGGCTCCATTTTATCTTTATGGTTGTAGCAATTTTTTTTATCGTCCGTCTATAAATTTGTAACGCCGAATTATACTCCATTTGATTTATTTTTATAATAATTTATGCAGCTCGCCATACTGTATCGTTAATTTAACTGATATAAGTTATCAGAAGTCGAACAAAAAAAATTTAACTCAAGGAAATATATTAAATTTGACTCTTTAATTGATTTATTAGTGTATGGACATTGTTTACTTTAAATGTTTAATAAATCAAAATAATCATAGAAATAAATTGATCTACATTCTTATATATACATGGAAATTACAAATAACAAAACATTATTCGATTCAAAGGATTGAGTTACCATTGTTTCCTTAATAATTAATAGAGGCTTTGTTCTACAATCTTTAATAAACATTTTATTTATTTATTTATTTATTTATATGTGAGAAAAAAATTTTCCTTAAGTAAATCTATTATTTTCGATCAACATTCTTGAATAGAAATTAAAAAATGTTCTGCTTCTTTGGAGAGAGAGAGAGAGAGAGAGAGAGAGCATATATTTCTCGAATATGAGAATTTGTGAACCCGTTTTAATTGTGCTCAAACAGTATGCGAAATAGCGGTATACGTGTGCAGATTACAATCGACGCACGATGCATCTTGAGACACGTGCGCGTCGTGACTCACATTACATCAAGCGACGCGCGTTCATTCAAACAAGCGGGTCGCGTCGAGAGATGATTCATACGGGCAAGCAGACGAACCCCCAGAGTTGAAAAAGCCTACCTGTTTCGCCATGTCCCTTTTGCGTTCAAATGCGTCGGAATGATATTACAGGCGATCGGCGATGAAATAACTCTCTTTTGTTCCGCAGAGATATTTTCTTGCATTCCTTACTGCGACAGGCTTCGATTCGACGCTGAGTTGTACTATTGAATTCCAAAATTGAAAATCGAACGTCTTGAAAGGTAAAAAAAAAGATCTTGCAGCTATACATTAAGCACTGTACTGTACACGCGACGCCCGCCTTTCGTCTGAAGTATGGCGATGGATGGCACGTCCGGTTGTTGACGGCCTCCAGAGCAGGTGGCATGCGCACCGCATCGACTGGAGATCGCGGAGCTGCCGACTCCGGAGCGTAAGATGGCCGCGGTGACAGATACGAGGAGCTGTCAACTCCCCGCCCGGGATCCTAAAGCCTAAAATTCTGTGTGTCATGCGGCTGGCCGTTTTCACTCCGCGCGTCGCGTAAATCGGCCACGTTGCGTTGCATCGCGTCGCACCGCGGACCGCATTGCGATGCTTGTGTACGCAAGTTTACTCGGGAGTCAGACAGAAACGCATCCAGGCAGTCCGAAAACGCACGTCGCTTCGTAATCCGTACGTATAGACAAGGCGCGTTGAAAGGCGCTTTGCATCCGCGCGTGCGGCCCGATTTATCTTCTTCTCTCGTAAATTCTCGACCGCGCGTCAGTCGATCGTATACCGAGGCGTGTCGGCGCGGAGATAATCAAACCAGTTCGAGTCGATCGAACTACGCCACCTCGTCGCATTGTAAGAGAGTGCTTTTTCGCAGGAACAACTCTCGTCGGAGAGTTGAGATTATTCACTCATGGATTCAGACATGGAAGCGTTAGTAGAATACAATTACGTAGCGCAAGCGGATGACGAGTTGACAATAAAAAAAGGTGACATCATCACGGATATCAGGATGATGCTTGGAGGATGGTGGGAGGGCACCCTGAACGACAAGCGTGGCATGTTTCCCGATAACTTTGTTAGGGTATAGACACTGTCTCTTGTGATTTATCATTTATATTCATAGAGTCCTAGTTAAATGCTATAACTCTTAACGTATAAATAAAACATCAATGTTATAATTTTCTGTTCAACAATGTAAGTTGTAATTGTTACATACAGTGTACGGTGTACATTACATTTATATTGTTGAGCAGGGACCCACAATATTGATGTATAAAAAAAAATGTTACTGTTAACGTTTACCGAATTCTCATGGAGATGTCTAACGTGTAGGTATTGGATCCCATTACTAGTGGAAATACCGATGTCAAGACTGTGAGCAGCATGAAATCTGCAGACGAGAATGTGACTTTGAGAAGTGAATCTGGTAGATGTCTCTGCAAAGTTCTTTTCAGTTACGACCCTTGTAATGAGGATGAGTTGACTTTAGTGCCGCAAGATTCCATAGAATTCTTGGAAGAAGTGGAAGAAGGATGGTGGAGAGGTCGTCTCAAAGGTAGAGTCGGCGTGTTTCCCTCAAACTTTGTTTCTCCCCCTGTTCCTGAGGAGCAAGAGAGGCACAAGGAGCGAGATAAAAAAGAGTTGTGCAGGGTACTATTTCCCTATGAGGCTGCTAATGAAGATGAACTCACTCTGGTCGAGGGAGATAAAATTGTCATTTTATCTAAGGATGCGCCGGATAAGGTTTGTTATCCATCTGTAGATTATAATACCAGTTTATAAGGGCATGGTATTTTACAGAATCAAAATAGATCTGATTATAAAAAGTTAGATTTCTTAAAACAAGTAATAAAAATAATTGAGTAAATTTGGAGAATTAACAAATTAGATAATAACTGTAAATGATCGGTATATATTAAATATGTATAATAATTTATATAGGGTTGGTGGAAAGGAGAACTGAATGGACAAGTGGGCTTGTTCCCTGACAATTTCGTTGAAGTAATTGGTACGAAGAATGAATCCCAAGAACAAGCAACCCAGCACCAGTGGTTTGAAATGACATTGCTGGGTACAAAGTCAAGCATTAGACATTCCCCTCAAGTGAAAAAGGTCGAGAAAGCGCATATTAGAAAAAGTCTGGACACTAAAAATGTACATTCAAGTAATATATCAGGTGAGATACCAATTATTTCATATTGAAGTGATATTTCTATTTTGCATGTAATATTATATGTATATTGAGATGTATTTTGCTAGATCATTTTCCCACTATAGACATCGCTAAAAAGGGCCTATCTACATTGACGTCGTCGTCGTCATCGTCGATAGCTAGCGGAAGCGGAAGCGGTGATAAGAAGGCGGTCGTTAGCCATTCGATTATATCGAGTCTGAAGCGGCTTGTGAGCGACGTAGGGAATAATAACGGTATTAGCAGCACAACGAGTATCGCTTCAGAGTGTCGCGAGGAATTGGACGGCGTGGAACGAGGAGAGGGTACTCCACTTGCGCATTTAACAGCTTCTCGTGCTAAAGCGCCTCGGCGACGTCCGCCTTCATCGCAGCATCTGCGCCATCACGCTGCCGGATCCAGCACGAGCGCATCTTCGACGCAGTCAACCGTTCCTAGTACTATTATGGTATGATAATGATTTTTTAAAAATACTATATATTATTAATTATTAGTATTTATTATTTATTAAATTCTGAATACAGAAATCTAATTAATTTTAATATCTTCTACAATTTGTAGGAAGATAATATATCTAATGGACGCACCGATTCTACGTTGGAACAAATACCCGATGAAGAAACGGACGGACTTGCTGCAAAAGTGAGAAGAAAAGCACCATGGGTAATGTACCACTTTTAGAGATGAAATAAATGGTATAAATAGGAAACTTAAAGAGAGTAAAAAATATAGATAAAAATATATTATAAAAGTTTACATAGAAATACTATTAAACACAAAAATTCTATTTGAGTGATTTGATTACTTTCTCTTATTTTTTATTCATTTATCAGTCCACAATTTTATTTATTAAAACAAAAGTATGTAAGAGATATATCGCGTTTATTAATCTTATCATTATTATCATTGTTAATCTCTTGTAGGTCGAAGAATTAAAGATGAATCAGATGGAGAGGAGAAAAACTGCCACGGTAGAGCGAATCGATAAGGTGGAAATTAAGAAGGAACGAAATTTCCCGCGGTAGATTTTGATTTATTAATGATTTTTTTAATCCATCGTATTTCGCAAATGTTATGTATATTTGTGTGTTTCATTGTTTATTAGATTAGTGACTCAAGGAAACGCTGTGGATTTCGTTATCAAACCGGACCCTGATAACGAAGATAATAAGCAGAAAGATAAAAGTCCGAAAGCCGAAACGAGCCCCCACAGTCCTAATGCATCAGGTCAGCCGGCCTACGTTCCATATGCCCTTTACTACAAATTATTGGAAAGGGTAAGTATTAAAATAATTCATATGCTATGTATTAAGTTTTCATTTCGGTATAACGTGTACGTAAAGGCACGCGATATTAATTTAAATTGCTTCAACAAGGTCACCGTATTAGAAGAGAAACAAGCAGTACTGCAGACGACAATAGGACAGCTTTCCGAACAGCTTGTACCTCTTCTTGCGAATGCATCGATTAACAGTAAATAATAGGGTGTTTAAAAGAAGAAAATCAATAGTATATTCATCTATATACCCGTACTGTGGTGTTTCCTCATTACGTCAGTAATGAAGAAAGAAACTAATACTGCTGCTAGAATGACGTTTATTGCTATTACTGTTGTTATACACACACACATATTTATTCATTTGATAGTATTCGTTTATTGTTTGCTCTGTCGATGCAGTATTTATGTGACCCGGTTAAAAACGTAACATTCCATATGACATTCTACGTTCGTAAATACATTCCTCTTTTATTTGGTTTTTCCAATATAAATTTAAGATCTCATTGTAACTGCTGGAGTTGTTTCACTCTCTTGATAACAGTAACCGATTTATATGAAATGTCTGAATATTTGCGCGGTTTAAACTCCATAGTTTTTATTTCAAACTTATGACACATATCAGAATTACGAGATGCAAATCTTTAATGTATTATATATTTGCACATATTACCTAGATTGTTACGATAAAACTTCCCCGTTGTCAGTAGCACGAAAAATCTTGCGACGCGACATAAAGTTCCAAAAAAGAAAGAAAGAAAAGATAAAATAGCGCAAGTGTCCTTCCAGATGGGTGCCTGTGCTTTTCTTGTACCAATTTGCATTTTATTCATTGTTTTATGTTACTTACGTATATATTTTTAGTGGCATTTATGACGAAGGATTATGTTAATTACGTATCTTAAAGAGACTACCTGGTTTGAAGTGCCAAGAAAGTAATGATATTCTTTTTGCAAAAACGATTATTGCTATCAATTTCTTATTTGTGCAAATATTTTGTCTTAACTTAAAAAAATATTAATGAATTTTTATATTAAAAACTAATATAATGTAATTGAAAAACTGCATGAGTAACAGACGTGTCTATGTCTGATCTTGTCAAATTGTTGACTCTGCAAAACTGAAATAAGTCGTTCGAAACAAAAGAATCAACGCATATACTAAACCTTAAAATTATAAAAAATCGTGAGTTGATAAAATTATTTAAAACTATTTAAAAAAAAGTTAATTTTTTAAAATTAAATTATCGAAAAAGTATTTTTTGAAAATTTATTATTTTGTTAAGTTAAGGTTTAATATACATATAGAGAAAACAGATATAATTTATATATCAAAGGCTGAAATTATTGCAGTGTCGTATCTACATTGTCAACAAAATTATATATACAATTTAATTTAAAAGATGATGTTTCAAAAAAATGCATATTAGAACATATCTGTTTTTTTGTACTTATAATATTTTTTTTCAATCAACGATTCCTAAACTATATATAAAAAGGCTCGTTCTATTGATAAAAATTATTAAATTCATTTGACTTGTCCATTCTAAGATAAGATTTATCAACGATAAATCTTATCTTAGAACTGAATGCTCAAAGTCTTAACTAAATCGCTCAACTTACTGTAACTTCGAGATTTTTCCAAGAATTACATTCCATTTTCAGAAAATACTCTTGAATAGTTGTTATTTGAGAGAGAACCAATTTAAAAAGTTAACTCGATAAATAAGAAATAGGATGTACTGGCCATAATGATCGAAGCTGGATCTTAATGCCTTTTAAATAATTCAATTTGAATTATATATATACTATATATGTATTTGCATATATAATTCACATTGAATAATTTAAAAAGCATTAAGATCCAACTTCGACTGTTACGGTCAGTATATCCTATAATATTTCTTATTTGTTGGATTTTAAATGTACGGTCCAACGAAATTCTTGTATTATTTAAAAAAAATAATTTTTTGATCCTCCCCCCCCCAAACCAGGTAGTCCTCTTAATTTTATTATTGCAAAATATAAAATTAACTATTTATCATATGAACAAGGATAGAAAAGTACTTAAATTCGTAGTTCGATAGAGCGTAAGAATTATGTGATTCTTTTTTTATTCAACGAACGCAACTGCCTCGCGATAACTATGTGTGATGATTTGCTATAGGTTTTTTTTCAGTAATCTGAGTGCCAATGTAAAACATTTTGTTTATTGTATTTCCCAGATGCCTCATTCAGCGATAGTGATAAGCGATTCTCGTTGATTTTTCACGAGTAATATCACCAAACTATATAAATACGACTCGTACAAGTCTAATTCGACGTGTTCGTCGAGCCATTTATTTTCATCCGCTTGTCAAAGCATATTTCGCTCCAAAGTGGAATATCTTTGAAACGGTGCTAATATAATGCGATATGTGATATATCGTAACATGTGGTTATATTATACATATAAGAATGAGGCACAGCGAGAGAGAACATTTAAGAAAAACTTTTGTTCGGTCCTAAATACGAAAGTATCATGACAGGACGATATAGCTAAGAATGTAGGCCGTTTTAAACGACAAATTAGCAGCTTTATTCGATGCAATTGCGAATCATGTTAAATATAAAAACAAAAGTTTTTATTTTTTTATGAAAGTGAAATTTTAAGTAAATATGGTAAACGAGAAGATGATAGATATATGAGAGGAAATAGATATACGAAGCGGTATTTAGTTTTTTATATCAGTATTCCATAAAATATATTTAATATTTCAACAAACAATAGTGGATTAAAAGCTATTTCCTCGAATCAGATTGACATAAAAGAGACTTTATTTTTATGCAGATATGCATAATACATATGAAATAATATATATATATATATGTATATATATATGTATACATATATAT